GAGTTTCATATTTACATTTTCTTTTTTTCTGGCCATGCCACACAGTATATGGGATCTTAGTTTCCCAACCAGGGATGGAACTGGTGTCCCCTGCATTGGAAGTACAGAGTCTTAACCACTGGACTACCAGTGAAGTCCCTCATATTTAGACAGTATCCTAACTTGCTTTCTGCCATGAAAGATGAAGACGTTTCCATACCTTTCTTTCTTTCTCCCATTTAAATTCCTGATTTTGTTAGATTAATTTTGGATATTAATTTTTATTATATTTATATTTTTCTCCCTACATATTCTCCCTACATATATACATATATATATTTTTCTCCAAACATAATTCCTATGTTTGAGCCTTATTTCCTTGTTTAAATTAATGTTTACTCCTATTGTTTAACATGGGTCTCTTTCCTGATTGGCTAAGTTTCACGATCATGTAGCCTGCTCCTCTCCCTCCCAGTAGGGCTCATCAGATCTCTCATGGATTGGACGATATGCCTGTGACATTTATAATTAAAAGATAAAATACTTGAGTATGAAAACTGGAGATCAAGTACTTTCTTCTCTTCACTTTTATAGAAGTGACTGAATATCCTGAGAAGTCTTTTATTTCTCCTTTTTACCTCTGCTTGAAATCCCTAGGAGTTTTTATCTCACTACTATCTCAGTGTTGACACTTCTGCATTATTTTTTGAAATTATTATCTAAACGTCTGTTATTTCATCTTTATTTTGTGTTTCATTAATTTTGTTTCCTGATACACTACATTTATGTTTTGCTTTTGTTTCCTTCTCAACTATTACCCCTGTACCCTCAACTACATCACCCTGTTTCTCTGTAAAACTCATTCATTCTTAGCAACTAATTTCATAATTACTTAGTAAACAATCCTACCTTTGAATAGGGAGATTCTGTCTTGTCATATTATGTGATAAAAAGCTTAGTGTCATGAAAATGGAGCATATATGGTGTGACTTGGAGCACTCTGCACCTTCAGTTCAGATTTAATCTCTGGAAGAGTGGTTGTCAGGCTTCCCAGGTAGCACTAGTGGTAAAGAGCCAATGTAGGAAATGCCAGGGACTTGGGTTCCATCCCTGGGTTGGGAAGATCCCCTGGAGGAGGACATGGGAACCCCCTCCAGTAATATTGCCTGGAAATTTCCATGGACAGAGGAGCCTGGTGGGCTACAGTCCATGGGGCTGCAAAGCATCGGACACGACTGAGTGTACACAGTGGTTGGTTGGTAAATTTTTTCTATAGTAAATATTTCAAGCTTTGCAGTGCATTCAAAGTGATTCAGCTCTTGTAGCACAAAATTAGCCATAGGAGATATGTACATTTGTGGGCATGACTCTGTGCCAATACAGTTCTCTTTATGAAATCAGACAGTGGGCTGTATTGGACCCACAGGCAGTATTTCTGACCCAGCTCTTGACTATCTGTTGCTCCATTGTAGATGGGAGGCTTTTCCCAGGTAATGATGACAGCTAATGCAGCTCCTTGGTGCAGACAGAGAACAGTCATGAAAGCTTGCTGCCCAGTTGAGTCTGACATGAGTGGATGATGCTAACTTGGTAGAGACTGTGCAGTTACTTGATTCTGATTATCCTACTGCTCACATGACCTGTAGAATACCAGTACTTTATCACTCACTGCTTCATGTCCTTCCTGGGTATTCCAGTATTGAAGCAACAGTAATACACTTTTGGAGATAGTCAGTTATATTTTCAAATCTTCATCTGTGCCATACTTTTATGGACTGAGTTCTTCAGGCAAGCTTTTGGCATCCATAAAAATTTTCTCTTTCAAAAAAGTTGGGTCTTAAAATTTTGAAATTTATTTGACTTACAAATTTTTGTCTCATATACTAAGTTTTTATAACTCCACTCAGAAACTCTATATTTTTTGGCTATATGCAGTCTCTATATAAGAAAGGAATGCCTCTGACTCAGTAAATATAGGACCTTGGGGCAAAAGGCAAAAAAAAACCAGAAAAAAAAAGAAAAACGAAACCAATTGTGTAATAATGCAAAATACTTGTAGTTATTATACAATGTAATTCGCCATACTTTCAGTTCATATAGTTGACATATTCTCAGAGTTAAACACTGAGAATGTGAGATTGGTAAGATAAAGTCATTCTCCAAGGAGAGATTATGGCCTATTGAAGAAGAAATATTTTTCCCCCCAAACAACTCACTTGTTATTGTGGAAGTTTCAATGTTAACTGCAGCCCCACCCTATATTATCCTATAGTGATCCCCATCCCATATTATCCTGCAGCAATCCCTAAGAGGAGGAGGTGGGTAAGAAACAGTGAGAAAAGAGAGTATAAATTATTTTACTTGTGACATTTTTAATGTACTATCACTTTTGTTTTTGCTTATAATAGAAAAGGAACTGTAAATGCATGCAAATAGATATATAATATTCCTTTTTAAGTTTTAAATTTTATAAAGTTTGCCTACGATTATTGCATTATAAATCTGTATATGTAATTAAGTATATTTTAGAAATTTAAAATATAAAATTGCATTTAAATTTTGTTTCTGTTAGACATTGATTTTTTTCATAGAAAATAAGAACTTTGGGTTGTTGTATAGGAATTTTCAAATTAAACTTTGCCAAAAGATATACTATGTAAGCTGGTATGATTATCTGTTGGATATGTAAAAAACATGCAATAGTGTCTAAATACTTTATTTTTCTTTTTTTTTCCTGCAAAGATGAGAAATATACAGAAGAAATACAATTCTGAGATAGCTAATTTGGGGGAGACTCATGAGTAACACTGTTTTTTAATTTTTTTCTTTATGAAGAAGAGTTTTAGTGTAATAGTACTTTAAACTTCAATACATTCCTTTCTATTTTATGGAAAAAAGCAAAAGGAATAGTAGATAAATGTTTATTGAGGAAACTAAGTTGAGTCATATAACTGCGAGAAGTTATGCAACTAAGTAAAAAGGCTAGGACACAACTCCAAACTTGTCAAATTAAAACAAATGCCCTTATCCTTATATCAGTAAAGTTATTATGCCAACAGTTTATCATTAGATGATCCAAAAAATGTAGACCATTAGATAATTTATGTCTCACAAATCACACTTTCTTATATGTCAGTTCGTTTTCTTCCAGCAAAAATTATTGGGAAACAGCTTTTTTCAGCTTTTCAATGATTGTATGTTTTCATTTATTGAACTAATACTTACTGAGCTTTAGGGGTAAATAATGCAAATTAAACAGACATACTCCCTAACTTCATGAAACTACTTCCTTATTCAAACCTTGTTGGCTTCTTTAAAATAGTTACCTTTAGAAGTTTTTCACTTATTCTAGAGATGTTTCTATTATTGAGACTATTTGGGGAATGCTTCTTCTTCAAGAATTTTCTTCACTGTCTTTCTTTTAACCTTCACCAAATCCTAAATTAGTGTTTTTCCTTGGGGTACACAGTTTAATTTTGTAATCAATGAAACGCCATCCAAATCTTAAAATGACAAATAGATGATCAAGTTGAAGAATTTTTTTTCCCATTGGTTACCCAGTAGTGTTTTTATTAAGGTTATAAGATAAAGTATGACAGAGGGTTTCTCTGACTTTTTAAATGTAAATCTAACAGTAGTTCCATTAAAGAATTCCATTCTTTCTCTAGCAGTGAATGGCAGAATTCTTTTGGATATCATTTTTCAAGCTTCCTGATCTAGTTTTGAGGAGAAGCTCTCATACATTTAGTTACTTTTGAAAACAGCTAATTTCACACTGGTCAGAATGGCTACCATAAAAAAGTCTATAAATAAGTTCTGGAGAGGGTGTGGAAAAATGGGAACCTCTATACACTGTTGGTGGGAATGTAAATTGGTATAGCCATTATGGAAAACATTCCTTTAAAAAACTAAAACAGAGAACTACCATATGATCCAGCAATTCCACTTGTAGGTATATATTTGGAAAAATGGAAAACTACTTCAAAAGGATGCATAAACCCCACTGTTCAATGCAGTACTGTCTACAATAGCCAGGACATGGAGGCAGTGCAAGTGCCCATCAGCAGGCAGTTGGCTTATGAGGATGTGGCGTATACACGCACACACACTGGAATATTACTCAGCCATAAAAAGAATGAAATATTGCCATTTGTAGCAAGATGGATGGACCTAGAGAATATTATGCTTAGTGAAGTAAGACAAAGACAAATACCAAATGATGTCACTTACATGTGGAATCTGAAAAATAATGCAAATGAATACAAAACAGAAATAGGCTCACAAACATAGGAAACAAATGTATTCGCTACCAAAGGGTGTAAGAGAGGAAAGGAGAAATTTCCCTTCCTGCAATATATCCCTTAACGACTTTTCCCTTAATAGCAAATGAATGAGTAGATGAATATACTAACAGAAGAAATTCTATATAAGACAAATTTACAGGGATGGCATGCAATTGTTTATGTAATTTTATAAGTGATAAAATTAGAATGTACTTTAGTCAGAGAGGGAAGAAGGAAGAATTAAGGTTTCAAAATTCTACTTACAAATGAACTGAGTATACGTTATGCAATGGGGTATATCTGAGCCTGAGGTAGATTTTTGCAAGGAGGAAGAAGTTAGCTAAAAGAAAATGTGTGTGAAGCTCTTGCGTACTTTACAGTTCTTATATTCTGTAAATATTAAGCTCTGAAAGGTCAAGGACAAGCATATATTTTATACTATGCAGAAAGAGTTTGCATCACAAAAATTAAGAAGACAGAGTCTTTGGTATTTTAAATATTTTTCCTCATTAAATATTATTGTTTTTCAACTTAAAATTTTACAGATACCTACAGAATATTGAACAAACAGATCCAGGATCCATAAGACTTTATCACCTTGAATCAAGGATTTCTTTGATATCCTCCTCCATCTTTTATTTGTATCAACTAACACATTTTTAAAAAGAATTAAGAAGTTTGCCAAAAGGAAAGTTAAAAAAAAAACAAAAACAAAACTACTACTACCCACACTTTCCAATGCCGAAGAATAGCAAGGTGGTAAAAAGAGAATTAGATGATGAGGTTATTGAGTCTGTCAAAGACCTTCTTTCCAATGAAGACTCAGCTGATGATGCTTTTAAGAAGAGTGAACTAATTGTTGATGTCCAAGAAGAGAAAGACACAGATGTTGAAGAAAGGTCTGAAGTCAAAGATGAAAGACCAGCTTGGAACAGCAAGCTCCAATACATCCTGGCCCAGGTTGGATTTTCTGTAGGGTTAGGGAACGTGTGGCGGTTCCCATATCTCTGTCAGAAGAACGGGGGCGGTAAGTTTCTGTTTTTTGCACTTTTTTTTTTTTTTGAGTGATACATTGCTGAGTAAATTGCAGTTGATTATGTCAAACAGCAATCATTGTTGCTGCAGTCTCAGTATTTTAGAAACTGTGAATTCCATTGTAAAACCAGGGAGACGCCTTTGTTGAAAGTGAGTTGAGCTCTGTTTTCAGATTAGGTTTCCATAGGAGCCGATGACTTGCTATGAACACACAGGGATTACTTAAGATCATGGTCTCAACTTCTTTCTGTGGCTCCCGTTAACATCTCTAAATTACTGCCTTTTCTAACCAATGTTCCATTCCTTGTTCCTGTCAGTTATTCACTCTGGAGAAAATGCTTAAGTTTCTGATAAAAAAATATATTGGTGAACAAGAGAGAGAATGTTCTATCCACAGTGTGTTAACTCTGAATTTTGAGTTGTTTCATTCTTCAGTGAAACAAAGTTACATATAATTTAGAATGATTATAGTCTTCAGTTGCCAACCAGAACTTTGTAGATCCCAGTAGAAGGAATTTAACCAGATAATTAATATAATACCGGATAGTCTTCATCCTTAGATATCAGCACTGTTAAGATGCTGTAAAGAAATTAGCATTTTTGATTTCAAACAGATTATCCCCATCAGCATATTTAGCTATTTGTATCTGTGCCTATAATTGCAAGGGTTATTTAGTGGAAATTGTCTTAAAATCAAGAAAATAAAAACATATACAAAAGAATAGATAGTTCCTATAGGATACAGGCTCAATAGTACACCCGACTAAACTGAACTTTACCTAACATTAGGCTTATTAAATTAAAATAACTTTAATATTTGCTTTACTTTCTTTACCTTTAGTATCTTTATTATACACATATATGGAAGCTGTTAAAACAAGTGTGTTTAAATACTAAATGTTCTGTATGTGGCATTTCAGCACATAAAGGAAAGAATTACTATTTTGGTATTTGATTCCAATTTGTGATAGGTTTGGTGACAGGACAAAAACATGGTTTTATTTTATTTTGATTTAGTTACCAACCTGTAAATCAGTTGAAGTAATAAAACCATTCACATGTGAAATGGTTTCTTTTAGTCACTAAAATAAAAAGCTAAGGTGTCAGGTGACAAAATACATTTAATGTCTTGCTTAGTTAATTCAACCAGGGGAAGACCAACAGGTTTGGGGGAAAGTAGCATGTGTGATGGACTGAGCGACTTCACTTTCACTTTTCACTTTCATGCATTGGAGAAGGAAATGGCAACCCACTCCAGTGTTCTTGCCTGGAGAATCCCAGGGATGGGGGAGCTTGGAGGGCTGACGTCTGTGGGATCACACAGAGTCGGACACGACTGAAGTGACTTAGCAGCAGCCTGTGTGATGGGCTTCCCAGATGGTGCTAGTGGTAAAGAACCTGCCTGCCAATGCAGGAGACATAAGAGATGTGGGTTCAATCCCTGGCTTGGGCAGATCCCTGGAGAAGGAAATGGTAACCTACTCCAGTATTCTTGCTTGGAGAATCACGTGGACAGGAGTCTGGCGGGTTATAGTCCATGGGGTTGCTAAGAGTAGGACATGACTGAAGTGACTTAGCCTAGCACTAGCCTAGCACACACAGCCTGTGTGATAAATTGCCTGAGAGGTAAGAATCAATACATGGAGTTGGTGGTCCACTACCCATCACTCCAGTGAACCTGCAAGCTCCTTAGCTAGTCTTTAACATCACAGATGAATTATTTACCAAATCAAATGTGCTTTATATTTCACAACAAATTATCCCATTTGCAAGATGGGCAGAAGATGAATTCTGATTTTCAGACCTTTTGCCTTAGGCATTTTATTGACCATACTATTAAGGAAGAGGCTATTTTGGCTGAAAACTCAGGTGGTTTGCTGCTTAATATAGTAGTAGTCTTGGTGGAAAACTCTAAAGGAGTTGGTTATCAGTTAGCAAAAATGGCTCTTGCTCCTTACTTTTATATGTAAAGAAAATCAAGATGCCTTTCCAAGAATTGTCCCCTCTCTTCTAATTACATGTGCTAGAGAGTGATATTATAAAACACGAATGGACTTCATCATTTTGAGATGGCTGTTGGAGTTCAGAAGGGTACTAAGCATGCAGTGTGGCTTTGAGCGTCTAGGTATTTGACTAGTTAACCAGTCTCAACTTGCATAAATCTTATTCATCATTTGAGGTACTTTATGAATAATAGAATAAAAAGTAATAGACCAATATAAGTTGATTTGTCTGAAGATATTACTTAAAGCACAATGATTAAGCTCGAGAGTGAAAGGGAAAATGTTATTTGCTCAGTCATGTCTGACTCTTTGCTGCCCAATGGACTGTAGCCTGCCAGGCTTCTCTGTCCATGGGATTTCCCAGGCAAGAATACTGGAGTGGGTAGCCTTTCCCTTCTCCAGAGGATCTTCCCGACCCAGGTATCGGACCCAGGTCTCCCACATTGCAGGCAGATTCTTTACCATCTGAGTGACCAGGGAAGCCCTGATTAAGTTTAGTAAGTGTTATAGTGTAGAAACTACCAGCTCAGGTTTTGAAGCCAATCTGACTAGGAAGCCTGGCTCTTTCCCTCACTATACAGGTGACCTTTCACAAGTTAACTTAGTATTTCTGGCTTCATTTCCACCCTTGTTAAATGAGGATAATAATTGTGCTTACCACACTGGATTCTTGTAAGGAATAAATGAGTGACTACATACAACATGGATAGAAGTATACCCGGCAAATAGTAAATGCTCAGTTGTGTTTTAACTAGGACTATTTGTATTTCCGGGACTGTAGAGTGTTTGAGTCAGAAGAAATGGCTAGGTATCTAATCCCATGTCATGTCCACATAACTGAGAAAATGTTCCCAATGAGTCCAGTCTTTGTTCATTCTCTTTTTTTCTCCTAGTCGATCACACACACATAAACCTACTCACACCCCAGGATTTCATGCAGGTGTGAAAGTGCGTTTTCAGCCCTTCAAGAAATATTCTCAGGTCATTAGTGCTTGAATCCTACTAGTCATCTTAGCGTTTGAATTTTGATAATTCTGTTTTATAATCTCATGCATCGATGCTTTACATTACATACTCCTTTGTAGAATCAACTCATGTCTCAAAGTCTGAAAATCAGCTGTAAGAGAGGAGAGATTTTCTACCAACCACCGTATTAAAGGAAATTCTTATACATGGAAATTATTTAAGATTTGTATAGACCCTGAGATAAATGACTTGAAAAAAAATCATTAATATTTACTTCTTCAACAGAAAAGGTACCAGAACAATTTGAATAGCTTCCAAAATCTATTCAATACCATTAAACATTTTCTTTTTAATGAGAGAAATATAATGAATGGCCTCCTGTTTATAAAGGGCATTAGTCCCCACTTGGTAGTATCTGGTTGGAAAAAACTCCAGATATGAAATTTGAATGTAGCAAGTCCAATTTAAAGGTTATCTAATGAATAATTTGAATATATACCTTCACTTAGAAATGAGTACAGGTTTCATATTTGACTTTATCAGTCATAGAGTCTAATATTAACATTGTCAATCGATTTAGTACATTTTTAAGTCACTGGGCATGTATCTTAAGTTGAGATTTAGCTATAAAATAATATGTATATATATTTAAGTATGAAAACTTTACTATGAAAAATGGCACATATATTTTATAATAGCTATTAATTATCTTTTTAAAAAAATTAGTGTTACCTACCCCTTAGCAGAATTTTGGAAAACAAAAAATTACTTATTTCCCGAAGTAAACTTTTTCTATAACATATATATGAGAAAAAAATGCCATTTGTCTGTGGTAGACGTTTTCTTTTTTCTTCTCTTTCAGTCTAAGCAGGCACTTGTTCTTCCCTGTTGTTACTTAGGGAAAAAGTCAGTTTAATATCATAACATCTCATTCATTTTGATTTATCAGATTTGAAATGCATGATTTAGATGAGTTTGAGTAAAATTTAATCAATGACTTCATTAACATTTTGTGAATAAGACTTCCAGGAGCTTTTGAAACCTATTTGAGAAAATATTTTAAGGAATCAATTATTTTTACAAAAAGTAAAGTTGTTTTACCTTTTCAATAAAATGAAACTAAAGCTATTCATTGATATCCTTACTTTTTTTCATAATTATTTTTTATCAGAAACTCTTGGTAGCAGTCAAATTCAGGTTTCAAATATCAGAAAGCTTAAAGTAATGAAATTGCATTTTCTTTAAAGTCTTTTATAATTATACTTATGGAAGTTTAAATGTCATCTTTCATGAGATAATCAGAATTAGTGTATTCTCTACTTTGGCTGTTGAAAATATAATGTTTTATTTGTTCTTCTCTCTATAGGTGCCTATCTTTTGCCATATTTAATACTACTTCTGGTAATAGGTATTCCCCTTTTTTTCCTGGAACTTTCCGTGGGTCAGAGAATTCGGCGAGGAAGCATTGGTGTGTGGAATTATATAAGCCCTCAACTGGGAGGGATTGGATTTGCAAGTTGTGTTGTAAGTTTCCTGGTATGGTATATGCCATATAATTTTTTACAGGGTTTGTAATTATATAACCTGAAGTTAAATGCAACCTTGGAGTGTATATTTCTACTCAACTCTTTAATCATGTGTTAAAAAACCCACTACTGTAGCTTGCACTAATACCCAAAATATGCTGTAATGTGCATGTAGTACAATCTTGTTAATGGATTTTCTCAAGGCCTATGAGAGTCATCATTTTAGAAAAGCTAATGTGTTACAAGTAAAAATTAAAAAAGTTTCTTTTTTAAGTATTAAATGGGCTTTGATGCATTTCATCTCATTGTTTCAAAGGTAGGGGCAGGAGAATTTTAATGTAATCACACTATTTTATTTTGCAGGTATGCTTTTTTGTGGCTCTCTACTACAATGTCATCATTGGCTGGAGTCTGTTTTATTTTTCTCAATCTTTTCAGCAGCCTCTGCCTTGGGATCAGTGTCCTTTGGTGAAAAATGCTTCACACACTTGTAAGATATCTACAATATAGAGTTTTTGTATCTCAAGATCATAAAGTTAGTAAAGCCGGGAGCTTTCAAGATATTTTTTGTAAAATCTTTCGAAGTTATAACAAACTTTCCTTGACATACTCAGAAAGATAGATGTTTGGCATCATTTATCTAGCTCTTTATTTTATTGTGTTAGTTTATAAGTTATTTTATTGTGCCCCAAGATGTTAGGATAAAAAATTATCAGCCTTCAGTTACAAACTTAGACAATATTTTATTTTGTTCATCTTTATTGATGTCTTACATTTGAATTAAAATAAAAAAGAGGAGAAAAAGAATAATTTAGATTGAAGAAATTGTTTTTATGTCTTGGGTTCTGTTGTTCTATATTTTTCTTAACTTTTAATTTTATATCCTAGAATATAAAGAATAATTCTGTAGCACTGTCTGGTAAATATCAAATGTAACATACATATGTAGTCTAAAATGTCCTAGTAGCCATATTTACAAAAATAAAAAGGGACAGGTGAAATATTTTATTTAATCCAATATATCCAATATATTAACATTCTAACATAAAATTAATTTAAAATAGTAATGTAATAATTTACATTGTTTTTCTCATACTAAGTCTCAAAAACCCCTTTGTATTTTATGTTTACAGCACAGGTCACTTGAGACTAGCTCCATTTCTAAGGTCACATATGCCAAGCAGCTAGCATTTTTGTTGGCTCTGCCCCTAGGAAGTCAGATAATTTTGGGGGCAAAAGGGCTATAAAACTGATATGTTTTAATCACCTTGATAAAAGCTTGTGCTTTGATGCTTAGTCTTGTCTGACTCTTTGTGACACTTTGGACTGTATAGCCTGCCAGGCTCCTCTGTCCATGGGATCTTCCAGGCAAGAATACTGGGGTTGGGTTGCCATTTCCTCCTCCAGGGGATCTAACCCAGGATTGGAACCCCAATCTTATGTGTCTCCTGCATTGAAGGCAGATTCTTTACCTGCTGAACCATCAGGAAAGCCCCTGATAAAAACCTCACACATTCCTATTTTAGAAGTGTGTAACAAGATAATCATCAAAGAGGATTCGTGTTTGTTGATTTTTTTTTTTTCATATTTTTACACAGGAGATTTCATTGTGGATTTAAATGCTTCTGTAGAATAGTAGTACTTTTCTAGGAAATGTTAAGAATTGATTTACAGGCTTACTGGGGGAAAAAATAGCCTCGTTACTCTTTCTAGTCTGAAATGATTGTGTTACTTTTCTTTCTACAGTTGTAGAGCCAGAATGTGAAAAAAGTTCCGCCACTACCTATTATTGGTACAGAGAAGCACTGAATATTTCCAGTTCCATTTCTGAAAGCGGTGGCTTAAACTGGAAGATGACCATCTGCCTGCTGGCTGCCTGGGTTGTGGTGTGCTTGGCCATGATCAAAGGCATTCAGTCTTCTGGAAAAGTTAGTATGTCAGAGCCCCTCCTGCTTCTGCTAAACATCTAATCTCCATTCCTGGGAACTATTCCCACCCCTGGCCCTTCTCAACCCCATGTAAATAAATCTGTCTGAGCAAGCTGCAAGTAACACTTCAATCTAGGCAGTTAATTAAAGACTGGTAAAAAGTGGTGTTTTTTTAAAAAAAATGTGTTTAGACCAAGGAAAGGACACAAATAAAGATGTAAGTTTTTTTTATAGTGAAATCTAAAGTCGTTTATAATCTTTCCCTATTCTATCAAGATCTGTTTTGAACTTTTTTGTCAACACTTAACAGTCCTTTCTTTTTGCTGGTATTCAGCTGAACCTAATGTTTTAGTTGTCTGATTAGTTCCAATCATGGAAATTGGGAAATGTAGTAGAATAAAGAATTTGTTTATGTTATTTGTGTTATATCATTTTTTTCTCTGCTATAGGTGCTCTAGGGAATAGTTGCTTATAAGATTTTAAAAGTCCATTGTGGAGTGTTTCTTAAAAATCTGAACATGAGGTAGTTATAATAATCTCAACAAGAAACTTAGAATAATTTAAAAGACTAAAGGGCATGTGGCCAGGACAAATGGAAAATTTTATGAGACTGTGGTTGAGAATGACATTGAGTTCTAGATACCCTAGGAGGTCAATCAGATAATTTTTTAAAAGGGTGTATTAGGAAAGTAATTGTTATTCACTATTTTGCTTTCATAGTACATCCCCCTCTCCCCATTGCCATTGTTTTAAAGCTCTCTATTTCTTTTGTCTGTATCACAGCAGGAATTAATTTTGGTTCTTCTCTCTGCCCTGTAACAATCCATCTCTGTTGTTTTTTCTTTCCCAAGTATAGATCTGATCATATATCTTTCCAGGTTAATATATTGCCACTTACCATCATATACTGACTAATAAGAGTGGGAATAATTATATTAATATAGCAGCAGTAGTAATAGTGGTAGTAAATGATGATGAAGATGATTCTGACAATGATCATAGCAGGAACAATAACAGAAGCCAGTATTTATTACGTATTTACTTTGCAGTAGGCACTGTGAAAAGTGCTTCATATACTTTATCCCATTTAAATCTAAAAAAAAAAAAAATGAACAAAAACCTCTAAGAAGTAATTGCTACTCTCAGACCTGCTTTACAGATTAAAAGAACATGTTTGTGGAAACAGGTAACTAGCCCAAAGAATAAAGGTTAGTAAATGTTGGTACCTAGAGTCAAATCTAGCTCTGTCTGAAGCTAACGCCCATGTTATTGAACTGCAATGCTATAACCTCCCTCGCTGTGACAACTTTCCCCCACTAAATAGTGAACTCTTTTGGGCAAAGTGTGTGTACTTTATCTTTGCTTCCTGTTGGTTCATATTTAATTAGAAATGTTTGACAGTTTTTACAGCTTGTAAATCACAGCTGATTTTACATTTAGCTTCCTAATGAAACTTCTTTACTATTTTCCTTTGCAGAAATGAATATGGTAGATAACACACCTGAGTATTTTTTGGTCTTTTATAAATGTTAGTGTAGTCTGTGATTAAATAAGTTCAATTAGTTTGTTCCACTTGGTGTGTCTTCTATAATGTCACAGCCCCAATATAGTCAGGTTTTAAATAAAGGAACAGATTCCTAAGCCAAATCTAACCATATTTATAGGCTTCCTAAGATAATGTCATTTGATAGTATAAGAACCAACTGTGGCCAGCCAGGGAAGTCCAAACATCTCTCTGCTCACGTCTTAATACCACATTTTGTTTTTTCTTTATCTGAGTATGTGTCTTATCATTTAAAGAAAATACTCATACTTTTCTTAGCACATATTTGGGGTGTTTTTCTTATGTAAAATAACTTTTCTAGAAAATCTAATACAATTTCTAGACTATATGTGATTTATTATTTCAGTGAGAAGGCTTAGGGAGAGGCTAGATTTTCAGGAGATTTTGAAGAAAAAATTTAGTAAGCACAAATAAGAGAGAAAGCTGTAAGTAATATGAACAAAGTTATGAAAGTCTAAATGTAAATTTGCTCATTCTGAACCAATCAGCTGAATACAATAAGAAATTTATTAGGAATATATGTAAAGCTCTATTTGCCAAACAAAAAAGCCTCTGAATAAACCCACCAATGTGGTATAGAGAAATATGGTTTAAGGATAATGAAGTTTAAGATTAATATGTGGAAAAAAAAAACAACTAAGAGTATTTAGCAGCTAAAAGTCTTCGCCAACACACACACACATACAAACAGAATGCTAATTTGAAACTGCATGAATTAAGACAGGAATATGACAGTCTCATCCTCCTTTAGGTCAGGTGGGCACAAGTCAATTGAATTACACCTGTAATACTGGATTTTTACCAAAATCCTTATTTTTCCTTTGTTATGGAGAAGAGCTATCTTAGCTTTGTAATCACAATCTTCAAGTAGTTGAAGAAAAAGGAATAAGCCTTCCTTATCCCGTGTGGTCACAGAGAGTAGAACCATGGTCAAATACTGGGGGTTATGGAGAGTGGTGGGGTGGTGGTGATTCTTCAAGGAAAGGAAGATCTTTTGGGAATCAAGCCTGCTAACAATGAAATTAGTTGTCTGCAGTGGTAGAGACTCAGCACTAGCGGAGGTGTCCAGTGGAGGTTGTATGGCCGCATGTCCTTTGTTGGATCCTCTGTGAAGGGGATGCCTACCTCCAGGGAGATGGATAGAAATGAGAAGCTCCAGGCTTTCTTTATCTCTAAAGGTAATATTTTCTACTGGTACTGCCTTGCTATCAGTACTACTACTGTGCCAAGTAAACACTCTGCATACAGTAGCTTGTTTAATCTTTCGGTCAACCAGATGATTTACATGTTCATATCCCCATTTTACTGCAAAGTTAAGCTTAGGAAGAATAAATAGAATTAAACAACTGGTAAGTAGCAGAGCTAGAACTAGGCTACGAAATCCTCAGAGAGAATGACTGTCTGAAGGTATGTTTAAACATTTTAATATAAAAAAAGAGAAAAACAACTAAATGATTTCATATGTTTACTGTTTTTCGATAGTAGAATGAAAGTATTTTCATATAACATTTTGATTTGTAAACTTATCTCTTTTATTGAATGTCCTTCCTGTGAAAGGCTGTTCAGTTTTGGAATTCTCCAGGTCAGAATACTGGAGTGGGTAGCCTTTCCCTTCTCCAGGGGATCTTCCCAACCTAGGGATCAAACTCCAGTCTCCCACATTGCAGGCGGATTCTTTACTAGCTGAACCACAAGGGAAGCACTTTTAAGGCCCAGGGAGTGTTAAAACCAGCCAAAGAAACATATTTCATTGTTTTAGTTCCCAGTTCTTAAGGAAACTACTTAAGAGTCATTTATGTACTCACTGAACACATTTATTGAGCACCTACTATGTGCTGGACACTGATCTAACTCTGGAAATGCAGCAGTGAACACGGCAGACAAAATACCTGTCCTCATGGAATCTCCATTTTAGTGGAAGAGGCAGGCAATAAATCGTAAAATATTAACAGGTAACAATGCAAAAAATGAGAAAGTGCTTGAGGGGTAGCATTTTACATATAGTCAATTAGATAGAATTTAAACTATTTTTAATAATATTATGCAACTGATAATTTTAGTATTCTGAGACTCATTAAATGAGAAGAATTTGGGTTTAAAAACACAAAATGGATACCTCTGTAAGATACTGACGTAAGGCACATCTTTAAATCTCAGAATTAATAGTAAATATTTAATAAGTAAATATTCAATAAGTAAATATTAATAGATATTTAATAAGTAACAAATATGTAATGAGTAAATATTTAATAAGTATTTTATTTAATAAAATAAAAGTAAATATAAGTAAATAGTTTAATAAGTAAATCTTTTATTTAATAAAATAATAATTTAATAGTAAATAATTAAGTAAATAAATATTTAATAAGTAAACATTTTACTTATAAATAATAATAAGTAAATATTTTTTATTCTTTTACCTGCTCACAGAAGAAGCAAATTCAGGTGTGACCTACCTAATACTGCTTAAACGTTTTTATGTTTAAAATCTTGACTTTCACTTTTCTTTATGTTATATCCAACATGAAAGCTTCGTGTTCATTTTTGGACGAAACTAAGCTAGAATCTTATCACTGAAGCCAAATGAGTGTCTTTAAGAACTCAAATACTTGCTGAATTAATAAATGAAGCTTGAATTGTCTGATCATATAATTAGTACATCATTTTTTTAAGTACTATAGAATAAAGGTGAGGGTTTTCTTTTTTTTAAGAGAATATGTACAGAAAGGAAAATTTCCTATGAATTGGCTCTTAATGTACAATATTTTTGAGTATCAAAGAATGTGCAAAGGATAATAGGCCACCCCACCTTTACTCACATAGAACCTATAACTTAATGGGTGAGACAGATAATTACAGCAGAATACATGCGGTAAAGATTTGCAAATAATAACTGCAGGATAGCAAAGAGGCAGCGACTGAAATTAACCTGGATTTGGGGGAGGGCTTCACAGAGGAGGTAAATTTGGGGCCAGAGTTTGATGGTTAAAGAAGAGTTCAGCAGAAAGTTCAGAGAGAAGACACCAGAGGAATGGAAAACAGCATGTGCAAGCCCAAAGACTGCTCAGTAACCCTGTGTTACTTTTACATACAGTTTGTGAATCTTGAGGGAGGTGAGGCTTGAAAGGTTAAGTTGACTGCAGGTATTAAAGTATTTATGGACACTAGTAAAATGATTGGCTGTTACTTAACAAACAGTGTGAAGTATTTGAGGGTTTTTTTAGCAGTTCATTAACACCATCAGATCTTTAGAAAGATCATTCTGGTAGCAGTGTGGGTGATGAATTTCCGAGATGGAGAGGAGAGCTGGCAGGGAAAATCTAGAGGCAAAGTGAGCAGGAAGCTAATAGTGAAGTGACACGTCATTGAGGATGAAAGCAAAGGGGCTTGCAAGAAATTTGGAGTCAGTTTGGGATCAGTTGGTTATGGGATGTGGAAGGAGAACCATATTCTGGTGGTTTAGAGTTGTTTAGCATGGACAAATATAGCTCCAGGAAGAATCATTTACTTCATTAGCTTCTAATTTGAAATTATGTTAAAAATATACTGAGGTATATCATATCAATTGGAAAAAATCATTCCCAAACTATCCAGATTATTTTAGTGTGCAGCCTTCATTTTCACTTTTAAAATAAATGGCTTAACAGAAGTCCTGTTGTCACTTGGTTTAGTCACTCATCCAGGTCCGACTCTTGTGACCCCGTGGACTACATGTAGCCCACCAGACTCCTCTGTCCGCGGGATTTCCCAGGCAAGAATACTGGAGTGGGTTGCCAAAGGCACCAAATTTGAGTTCTGTTAAAGAAAAAAGACAACAACAAAAAGATGAACTATTGTGCAGAAGTGAATCCACCCTTCTAGTTAGCTTCAAGACTTGAAAGAAAAATCATAAAAGGAATAGCTGCAATTCAAGTGAGACCAAGGCTACTTGAATAGATATTGTAGACCCACAAGTTTAAAGGATGCTAAAAGTAAGCAGAAAGAATGAAAAGTACTCCACCTGAAAGCATTCTGATTTTTAAAAAATCAAGAAGTGTGGATGAATGGATGCAATTTGAAATTTAGACCATTGTGAATTGATTGAAAAATTATATTTCTTTACAATTAGAATATAATTACTTTTACAGAAATTTAGGTTCCTAATTTTGCAGAGATTTTATTTGTAATATTTTTAATAATATTGAAATACAGTTACAAAGTATACAGAATAGAAGTGCAAATTATTGTGCTGACTTCCCTGTTGTCTCTCTGCAATTATTACAGGATTCAGTATCTCTGACCTGCCTGAGTCATCCTCTGCTATGGCAGTTATTTCAGTTTCTCCCTCCATTCTTCTCACCTTCCCTCTATTCCTTCCCCCATAGATACATATCATATACCTAATAAGTGTTAACAACTCTGTTAGATGTTTGGAATTTGGTAGTGAGCAAGGGAGAAAAGGTCCTTGCCTTCACAGAGCTTGTATTTCAGTAAGGGAGACTGGAAATTAACAAACACAGACAATTTCAGCAGTGTTAAGTGCTGTCGAACCAAATCAAATCAATATCATTGAAGGTTCATGGGACATAGGGAAGGGCATTTGGGGGCCTATTGGATGGGGAAAAAAGGCATAGTCTTGTTCTGAGTGTTCTATGAAGATTTGAAAAGATGAAGATGAGAAATAATAAAGAGGAGCAAGTCACAGGCAGGATAGGAAAGACAAGTGCCTCAGACTGGAGGCACAGTCTGCTCTGACCCTGAAGCTCAAGAGCTTGGTTTCCCTTGGGGCTGGAGCTCAGGGAAGGGTGGGGCGGGCAGGCAGGTAGGCAGCCCAGTGTCAGGCTTTGCAGGACAGCCGTCTGCCTTTTGTTCCTACTGTGTTAGAGATTCCTGGAGAGCATGTACGCAGGGAAAGAAATAGCCCGGGTGATGGTCTGGAAGCCAGGAAATTATAAACCGCGCAGAACTACTTCTGGATGTCTGACTTTAACAACTGTTGGGTGGTGGGAGATAAAGATCGGTGGGGACAGCTTTGGGGGAAATCCAGGAATTTTAGAAACCACATGGAGATGTCGAGGAGGCAGTACATGTCTGGTTAGGACAATTGCTTTTCTATGATAAACATTTGTTTAATGATGAAGACTTGTGAGGTAGAAAATAAAACATTTACTCTATTATTCAAGTTCTATAGGAGCCGTAACAGGGACCACTGTCTAGAAGGTTTACAGAATTATAATGGAACTTTGCTTAATTTTTTTTTAAAAGGACTTTTGCTTTCTAAAACTATAAAGTAGGTACTTGTTAAGGAGTTAGCGTCCTTTTGTTTCCCTTAAATACTGCTTGTTTGTGAACTGTGTGAACTGTGAGGAATCAACACTATTCAAGTGACACCTACGGACTATTTTAAAGGAGATTGAATAAGGAAGATTTCCCATTTTTCATTATATCCCAAATAGATCTTAATGAATCACACCAAATCAAGACTAATAAGCCATTCTACTATGATGACTAAACAATGTACTAATAGTATTATTTTATTATAAAAGGGTCATTTTCCCAGTATGACGATATGAAGTGAACGTGTTAGTCACTCAGTTGTGTTGAACTTTTTGCAACTCCATGGACTGCAGCCTGCCAGATTCCTGTCCATGGAATTTTCCAGGCAAGAATACTGGAGTGGGCAGCCATTCCCTTGTCCAGGGAATCTTCCTGACCCAGGGATCAAACCCAGGTCTCCTGCATTGCAGGCAGATTTGTTACCATCTGAGCACCAGGAAAGTCCAGTATAGTGCAGCACAAATAATCTTTAAGTATGGGAAAGAACATGGTTGTTTGTGTGTCTCACCTATTTTCATCTTTCTTTCTTTGCAGATCATGTATTTCAGTTCTCTGTTCCCCTATGTGGTACTCACATGCTTCCTAATCAGAGCGCTCCTTTTAAATGGTTCAGTTGATGGCATCCGTCACCTGTTTACCCCTGAGGTATGTACTGTATTTCCAGTTAAGGCTTATGATCACAAAAGCTTTATGTTGTCAAAATATTCCCACAGTTAAATTTAAGGATAATTGTTTGAACCTACGTACAACAATGTGCACTAAACTATTAAATTATAACTGTTATGTTAACCAGCCTAGTAAAACCAAGACTTTTAGATATCTATAATTATGTCCAGCTCTCTCCAATTTTAAATGTCCCACTTCATCTAGAGTAAGTTTCACTATTTAAACTTCAGAAGTTCCTCTTTTACAATAAATTAACTTTTTACACCGGTACAGTTTAGAACTTATCAATCTTTACTCTTCCTCTTCTATTTCAGTGGTTTTTAAACTTTTGTGACATGGACTCCTTTGGGAAAAAAAAGAAAAAACTAATAATAGGATCTTCTTACCAGAAAAAATAATGAACATATTAATTTGCTTAGTGTCTTAAGAGGATGACAGAATTCCTAAAGTCCATGGACCCAGATTAGGAATGCTATTGCACTCGAAATCCTGTCTTAGAAAAAATTCAAGGTTTCTTGTTCTGTTTTGAGGTTTTGTATTTTCTAGAATAGTATTTATATTAGTGTGTTTGGGAAGTTCTGTAATTTTTATAAATGCATATGCATTTCAAGAAAATTCCATTAGGTTTCCTAAAAGGCTCAGAACTTAAACTCTGTCATTCAACTTAGAGCTGACCTCAATGTAGGGCTCATTGAACCTGATTAATCAATCCTTGTGGACTTGTCATACTGGTTTGATAGGAAAAAAATCAAAAACATATTTGAGGTGCATATAGATTTGGGATATTCACTGAAATGAAATCATACTTCGATTAGTGTGCTAACACTATCATAATCAGACAATGAGTTATAAAAACACAATCTCAATTTAGTTCAGAAATTGGAAGTTGTCAGGATGACTGCACCAAGCATCGTGCTGAGAGACTCAAGTAGGAGATCTTAGCCTCCCTGGAATTGTCACCGCTGGCAGCCGCCATGGTACTGTGAAAAAGAGGCTGTGTTTTTTGAGTATCTGGTTCCAAGTCAGGTTCTGCTCATTCTCAAGTAGCAAAAATGTTGACTTTGTGATCTGCTTCTCTTCTATTGTTCAAAAGTCCTGTAGAGTTATGGAATTCCTCAGTGAAAAATTAGTTCACATTTATGAATTTCAGCTACATTATCATTTAAATTAGCCACAAATGGGCCATACTTAGTGACCACAAATATTTCCTTTTTACAATATAGGAAAAAAAGTTTTCTGAGTTGAAAACAACTAGCTTTGGTGTGCATTCCTGGAATATCACCTTTCTCTAAGTTGGTAATTGTTTGTGACATGATTCTAAATATTTGATGTAAATAGATATTTTAGAATATAGATACTTGAATATGACACTTTTACATGGTCCCCATGTTTAAAACTGCAATACTTGGTTAACATTTTAAACCAGAACTGGAAATAACTATTAAAATATAGTGAATTACTTCCTCAGCTCACTTTGGACTATTGATAAGATTGTTATTAGTCCATTGTAGGATGTGATAATTAATATATAACAATAAAAAGTTGTCAGTTTCCTTTAAATTTAAGTTGTTTATGTAAGGGAGAAAGTATTTAAGTACACAAAATAATTCTCAGTGAATGCAGATTTAGTTTCTGAGTTGGAAGGAATCAGAATGTCTTTAGTAAATAGGTATTGTCTGCCATCTAGTGGGAAAAGTAGAGAGAGACAGTTGAATGAGTTCGGTTTTCATTTGCTGATTGTGTCCAACTCTTTGAGACCTCATGGACCGCAGCATGCCAGGCTTCCCTGTCCTTCACTGTCTCCTGGAGTTTCTCATGACCGTTGAGTCAGTAATGCCATTCAACCGACTCATCCTCTGTCACCCTCTTCTCCTGCCCTCAGTCTTTCCCAGCATCAGGGTCTTTTCCCATGCTGATCAGCGTAGCTGTTACTATAGTCCACATGTTAGCAGCTATTGAGGACTCAGTGTGGTAGGCAATGTGATGGGAGTATTTACATGCTTTGTTACTTTCATCTTTCAGTTGAGAAAAATTAAACTCAGAGTGGACAGGCCACTTACCCTAGGATGCACTATTTTTAGATTATTAAATGACTGTCTATGGAAGTCATGCTCTTAACCACATCTGGCTTGGTTCCCAATAAAGGCAATTTTATTGCAAAGGTGAAAAGAGATAAAATACCGATTTAAGTACTACTATTACTGAAATCAAATTTAACTGTTTATTGAGGTCTTGGCCCAATATGGCTAATATTAATTGTTCCATTTAAAAGTTTTAGTTACATACAGTGATAATTGTTTAAGAAGTAAAGCAGAGTTACTTGAAAAATATGTTCAGCACAGATTCCAAACTTTAGAACTTTGAATTACTTCAATTTTCAAAGGAAAAGCTTTCAGGAAACTACTAAATGAAAGGTTAATACCTATGTGAATATGCAAAGTACAAATAGCTCAACTCTACCCAGCTTATAATTATTACCTGCTTTGGCTGTTAGATGTCACCTGAAAACACAAAACTTAGGGCATTACTTAAATAAAATTTATAACTTTTATGGCTAACTGGTTTATTTTGCTTTGGAAAGAAAACAAAGACATAAATAGAAATAAGCGAAGATAGTTCATTTATCTCTCAAATAGTCCTTTGATTTGTCCTAAAGATATTTAAAATTTCCCATATGATTTTTTTCTCCATGTAAGTAACATCTCCATCTAAAGTTTCGATAGTCTATGGTCTTCCTTATTCACTTTCCTTGTATAATTCCTCAATGAAAAATTTGTTCTTTCTCGTTAAGAACAGATAATCCTCTGTTTTGAATTACCTTTGGGTGTGTGTCATGCTATATGTAAACGACAGAATCAACTCCTTGTAGATTATTGACGAATAATAGTTTGTAGCTGACTTCTGTCCTGTTTAATTTCAAACAGCTTGAAATCATGCTGGAGCCGAAGGTGTGGAGAGAAGCCGCAGCTCAGGTGTTCTTTGCCTTAGGTCTGGGATTCGGCGGCGTCATCGCCTTTTCAAGCTACAACAAAAGAGACAACAACTGCCACTTCGACGCCGTCCTGGTGTCCTTCATCAATTTTTTTACTTCTATCCTGGCAACACTGGTGGTGTTTGCAGTTCTGGGCTTCAAAGCAAACGTCATAAATGAGAAATGCATTGCAGAGTATGGTCATCAATTACCTTTAGATTTGATGGCATAATTGTATTTGAAAAAAAATCTCCTTCCCATACCCACAAGTGTTTATTAATGATGTTTTGCTTTTCAGAAATTCGGAAATGATCATCAAACTTGTGAAAATGGGTAACATTAGTCAAGATATCATTCCCCATCATGTCAACTTTTCAGCTATTACTGCCCAAGATTATGACTTAGTTTATGACATCATTCAAAAAGTGAAAGAAGAAGAGTTTCCCGCACTTCATCTCAATGCCTGTCGAATTGAAGATGAGCTCAATAAAGTTAGTAGTCTATGTTTAAGTACTAAAACAATTCTCATTAACTTAAAATATGCCTTACCCAGAAGACTTCTTTTAGGAAAAGGACCTTTAAAATGCCTGTGGAAGAGCATGCTATTTCAAAATTCATCTTTATTTCAGAGAGTGTATTTTCTTAAGTCAGAAAGGTTTGCTTTACTTTAAAAAGTAGTTTCACTGATGAAGGCACAATAATTTAAAATATGAATATAAATAAGGTGATTTTCACATAGAAAATGAAATTAGATACATTTGCTGGTATAATACTTAACACAAAACTTGAATTATGATGACTATTTACATATTGCATAATTGTTTGGACACATTAATGATATTTCCCATCTTAATAGTTGTGTTTGTTAAGTCATGATTAAGTCCTTTTTCTAGCCACTGTCATATATTTGAATGAACACTATATAGGGGAACGTGAATTAAGAGTTTTGCATAAATTGTCATCTCTCTTTATTTTGCCAAAAAGGAAAATATTATGAAGAAATTGGCCATTAATCACGTGCTTTAAGATAGCTTAATGTACCTGAGACTAAACATAAAGAATCGTGTGCAGGAAGTTACAGATGAAGCCACCATTAACACAACAATCTTAAATTCCATAAGGAAAGATTTAAATACTAACTTACTCTTGAATTTTTAAATGTTGGCTCTATCTGTGGTCTTTATGAGATAACATGATCACCCTGAATTTTGTTTAGAGGCACATTTCTTAGGAGACAACATGATGATATCAGTGTGATTATTTCCAGTAACTGCCCCACATTATTCAGTTTCCCTGCCTTTTCATATACATAGCCAGCACTGCACGTGGCTCTGACTAACGTGGCTATTCTATATATCTTACAGGCTGTTCAGGGGACTGGTTTAGCTTTTATTGCCTTTACAGAAGCGATGACACATTTCCCCGCGTCTCCCTTCTGGTCGGTGATGTTCTTCCTCATGCTGGTAAATCTAGGGCTTGGCAGCATGTTTGGAACCATTGAAGGGATCATCACACCCGTGGTGGACACTTTCAAAGTGAGGAAAGAAATCCTCACCGGTGAGCTTTTATGTATTTGACTTTTCATTGAACTGATAGCAGGTCATTTTACTCTTGGTGACTGATCAGAGATGGAAATAGGAAAAGGGTTTATTTTTAAAGTCCACTTAGTAATATGTTTCAGAAGTATTTGTTATTTAGGGATTTATTTATAATATTTATACATTGCATATTTATACTATGTAAATGAAACTTAATGTAGATTATATTAATTATTATTAATTACTTATTAATTATCACTTATTATATTGCTGTTCATTAGTAGTAATGTCATTATGAAGTGCCGGTACTAGAACAAAGTCAAAGAATGTTCATGTAATTTTGTATTCAAGTCAAATAATTATTAAAAAAAAGTTCAGATCATTGGATTTTTCAAAAATGTATAGCTGACATTGACAAAGCTAAATTTAGTTTTCATATAAAGTAGCAGTTGTAGCCTGATAGAAGCTAATATATCTAGGAAGGAAAGATAATAACATGATTTATCAATATTAATGGTTGTTAATAAGTCTAATTTGCAAGCGGTTGTTAAGGTACTGGCTGTGTATTGTATTGTCCTTGCATTTGAGGTATACCAAGGATGTAAGAGAAATTACAACAGAGATGCAGACATATAGGAGAACCTCTCCTCTAAGCAGAATAGAACTGATAATTAAAATCAACATGGGTAGATAAAACTTGTATCATGTAATACACTGACAGCATGATAAAGACTTTACATGTTCTGCAAATTAAGAAGCAGCAAAGAAAAAAAAAGAAGCAGCAAAGATCATCTAAACATATGAGGGAACTACCAGCAGAAGGCATGGAAATTGAATGAGAAAGGGCAAGGGTCTTCTCAGGGGTCAGAAGATAGTTTTAGTTAGTAAGCACACCCAAACAGAGACAAGGGAAGCAGCGAGGAAGCTGCCAGACCAGAGTGCAGCAACATTGTTGGTAAGTGATGCAAAAACTAATTGGGAAAAAAACCATACAGATGATCTTGACTGCTGGCCAGTGGTGCACAAGCTCCACCACAGGCTCTGTGTTTCGTTCTGAAAGATTCAGTAGTCACTGGCATGTCAATCACTCTCCAGACATATATGCCCTGATCACTCATTGCTCTGTATAGTGTATGTCCAAACAATTTCAGCAGCTTGTCACATACATACATCTAGATTTCTTTAATTCAGTTGGATGCAAAGGAGAAATGTCTCTTCCTTTTCTTGAAAGGCATGCTCTGCTTCTGCAGTTTCTATTTATTTTAAGGCTATCAATATCCTCTGACATGTAGACTAAATAACTGTCATCTTTGCTGCTTTCCTCATCATGCCCTCTATCTCAACCCTCCTGATATAAGAGGGCTTGCAAAATTAAGGGAACAGCAACAGCGTGGGGGGGAAAAACACACATGAGAGTATTTGCCAACCCCCAGTGGAAGGCTTAGTAGACCAGAGTAAAGAGGGATATACTCTCCACTCCCTCTACCTGTATTTTGGGATCACACTTTTACTTCAAGTCATTTACCTTGAGGAAATGTTCCCCCATCACCTTTGTCAAATGTTCTCGTCTCCTTTGGTATGACAGTAGGACTTAGATCTAAGTTACTTATTATCTGTTCCGCTCACCTCGTCAGCGAAGCTCTCCGTGTCTGTCCCACCTAGAGTACACCTTCTTCCTACTTACACTGTGATGCAATTAGGCGAGAGTGAGTGTGATACAGGCCATGGTTCAAATCGAAGCTCTGCTACTTCCATCCTGAGACTTTGAGTATGATTTGCTGTGACAAGCATTTAAATATTTCAATATGTGTTAGACTCCAAGTGAATGCTCTTAATGCTTTTCCTTTTCTACCTGATGTGTTTATATATAATATTTACTTATGGACGATGTAACTCATAGCACTAGCCTAGCACTCACAAGATGAAGGAAATGGCTTAATTTAACCCATACTTATTGAGATTGCTAGGGAACCTCCATTGGGTGGAACCCAGGGATGCCTGTTTTCTCTCCTTCTCAACTGCCTCCACCTGCCCCACTTCTGTTATTTTTACTCACTTCTGCTAGTAGGGAGTTGAGAAAGACAGCCCAGTCATCTCTTATTTTTGAGGGCTTCTCTGCTAACATGCATGAGAGAATAAAGAGTCTAACAAAAATATGTGAGTAGTGTACGGATTCCAGAATTCTCTCTCAGTTTCTACAGTAATGGTATCTAGTTGGAAGTTTCTGCATCTTTCTGCAGTGCTCCTACAGAAACTCCCTTTAACTCTTCTTCTTAGTTAACTGGAGAATCTGGTTGCCCATCCCTGTCATAATTGTGTTTCCAACTCATCTGCCCAGACAATATCAAGGTAGAGAATGGGTTACTGCTAGGGGGTCAAACTTTTTTTTTCAGTTATGCTTTAACAATAATCATATTTCAATCAAATATCAAAATATATGTTATCATAGTCTTATAAGGCACATTCATCTCATGATTAATTTGAAATTTCAATATTGATTCCAATTAAAAGTAGAAATTACCTGTGAACATTTGTTGCCTGAAAAGGTCACTTTTCTATTAATAATGAGACATGGGTATGGAGATTTATACTATTATTATCTTCTCTGTTTTGCCTCGTTTGTTATTTGGGCTTGGTACATACATTTCCACAGACTCAAGGAGATGAATTGAGTTACTGCCCTACAATGAATTCATATTAAATCCAGGGCTAAATTCAGGTAACTAATTGCCAATATATTCCATGGTATCAGGAAAAGTATCCTATTCATATTACTGACAACTTATAAAAAGTAGAAAAACAAAGTGCATATAATAATTTATAATGCCGTTTAAAAGACTTGATTCTGACAAGGTCTTATTTTTTTTTAAATTTATTCCTTTTGTTCAGTTATCTGCTGTCTTCTGGCATTTTGTATTGGCCTGATATTTGTGCAGCGCTCTGGAAACTACTTTGTTACAATGTTTGATGACTATTCTGCAACCCTGCCTCTGCTAATTGTCGTCATTTTGGAGAATATTGCTGTATCCTTTGTTTATGGCATAGATAAGTAAGTATATTCTCTTATGCATTCATTTTACATCTCTGCTTTGGAAAGACTAATTGTTAATATGTATCTCACTTAGAAGAAGAGAGAAATGACTGGAGGAAAAATTTCCTTGCTACAAAAATCAATCTTCTGCAAGCTCTTCTCCATTCAACAGTTTTAACAAAGCAGATCTCCTTATTAGGTGATGAGATAGAATGGTGTAGATGGTAATGAGGTTTAGGAATCTGGAGCTTTGATTTAATTCTGGTTATCAAATAGGAACTTCCAAGAACTTGTGTATATTGGCTAAGTTCCAAGAATCTTGTTAAGTCGTTTTGAGCCATTGTTCTCTCTGTTTCACACATAAGAAAATGCAGGCTTAGTGAGACACCGAGTGACTTGCTCATCACACACCTGCACAGACGCAGAGCTGGGACTCATTGCCGTTTCTGCGCTGTGCTGCGTTTAGTCACTCAGTCGTGTCTGACTCTTTGTGACCCTGTGGACTGTAGCCCACCAGGCTTCTCTGTCCATGGGGATTCTCCAGGCAAGATACTGGAGTGGGTTGCCATGCCCTCCTCCAGAGGATCTTCCCAACCCAGGGGTTGAACCCAGGTCTCCTGCATTGCAGGTGGATTCTTTACCATCTGAGCCACCACAGAAGCCCATTTTTACTTAACTCTAAGGTCTGTACTTCTAATTATGTTGCCAACCTGTTTTATCAGACAGATTTTATTTTGTTATGCTATAAAATGCCTTATTTTATCATGTTACACAATGATTTGTGTAGCAGAATCATTTTGGGAAGATATATATATATATGTGTATATGTATATATATGTGTATATATATGTCTGTAGTAAATGTTATATATATCTTGAAGCAGTGATATATATATATATATATATATACACATATGTCTATGTATATATATATCTTGAAGCAGTATATATATACATATATGTACATATATATATATATCACTGCTTCAAGATATATATAGCATTCACTATATGTAACGTATTTATGGAGTCATGACTTGAATTCACTAGATGCCTAAATCTTTAAATTATATACCTGCTTGGTCTGAAAAGTATATAAACTTGTGTGAAATGAAGCATTTGAGTAACTCAGAATAAAAACATTTCTGGAGGCCTTGTCCAATATTGTTTAAATTTGTTGTCTTTAGGTAGAATGTATGGATTAAGGCAATAAGATCATAAAGCTTATTAGAGGTTTCTCTGATGCAGGAATAAGTTCACTGAATGAGGACCAGAGTCCTCTTCAACAACATAAAGAACTTTATTGTACTAAGTGAGCTTTGTGACAAAACTTAGAGAATATTTTATTACTGTTAAAAGCTCCAGGCAAGCAAAGGTAGGGAAACTTACATTTAATGATCATGTACTAAATAGCAATAGTAGTAATGGTTGCATATTGTTTAGTTGCTAAGCTGTGTACAACTCTTGCGACTCCATGGAGTATTACTACATCAAAATAAAATGGCTACACAGGCAAAGAAATGATCAAGAAAATAAAAAAGTAACCTATTGAATGAGAAAAATATTTGCAAATCAAATATCCAATAAGGGGTTAATACTCACAATGTATAAGGGCTTATAACTCAGTAGCAAAAAAAAACAAAAAACAAATCAATTAAACAATGGACAAAGGATCTGAATTTTTCCAAAGAATATATACAGATGATCAACAGATACATGAAAAGTTGTCAACATCACTAATCATCAGGGGAATGCTGTATGCATTGTCTTAATCCTCATAACAGTATTCTGTGGTGACTAACATTACTCATATCACAGATGTAAAATTGGCCTGCCTGTATAGGAGGACACAGTATCTTAGTTGTAGAGCCAGGACTTTTAACTTTAATTTCAAAACCAGATATTTCTGTAGTCTACTGAGCTACCCCCAACTCCTCACCTGCACTGTGTTGGAATTTGATATTGTTATTGGACTGATCTATGGATCAGTAGGATCATAATTTAGTTTTCCATTTAGACTTTTCATCATTTACAACAGGCATAATGGTGAATATTTCTTTTTAGTAGTTCCTAAATAGTAATTATTATAACATCAAGATGAATAATGTTACTAATACTTGCATCTATAAATTTCTGCTGTTTGTTAGATAGTGTGCTTTGCATATATTGTCCATGAGCCTCAAAATAACTCTCCAAGATGAGTATTATCTTTCTTGAGAATGCCAAAAATGAAGTTCAGAAGGACTAAGATACACATTTAGAAATTATGGAGGTATGATTTGAAACCAGATCTGTTGGTCTCTAAAGCTCATATCTTGTCCAAGGAGCACAATTAGAATTCTCCCATTTAAAATGCTCTTATTTAATTACTTTTCCCTCCTTTAAATGTCTGCAGGAATCTTATGCTCTTCCTGTTCACCTTCAGTAATGTCATGAACTCAGTTCTGCTCTGTCATCTGACATGTTTACCTAAATTTCCAGAGACAGGGTTGAGAGGAGCTTTCTAAAACCTAAATGTTTGAGATAGCAAATTCAAATGCAGAAAAAGAAATGTTGTATGGGCTTCCATGTAACTCAGCCGGTAAAGAATCTGCCTGCACTACAGGAGACCTGGGTTTGATCCCTGGGTTAAGAGAATAGGCAGGAAAATGATTGAGAGAAGATGAGAAGGAAGATCCTGTGATGCTGAAAGTGATGGTTGCATAGATTGCATTTCCCCAAGTTTCCTTTTTAAAATGAAGGAGAAAAAGAATGACTAGAAAGCAAAACAAAATACCCATGGACACCGGAAAGAAGATATTCCCGTGAACCCTCAAATATGAAAGGTTGGGACAAACCACTGGCAGCCACAGAACCTGTGCGGTATCACATCTGTGTGGGTGATGATAGCGGATACACAGCTGGGCCTCTGACAGCTCTCTACTCACTCCCAGCTCCTCCGTGCAATGTGTGGTAGGCTGATTAACATGAAGATAGTGAGCAAAACTGGGAGAAATAGTATCTTTGCCCTCATTTAGCAGAATGCAGAGGGATCCGAACACAACAAGATCATCAGTGCTGGAACAATCTGGTATCTAAAAACTTGTAATGAACAATCTAAAGTTCTCTTCCAAGATAAAGCTTTGCACTGAGGGCAAAGTGGTGGGAGCAAAACCTGAGCTGAGCAGGAGATAGGTAGTAGAGGCTTTGGAAAAGGAAGTCCAAGTAAATGTGGGAATGAGAGCAGAGGTTTAAAAAAAAACAGCTGAGAAATTATGAGGCCACCTTTTTTGAGCTTCCGTAGTAGCTCAGATGGTAAAGCGTCTGCCTACAATATGGGAGACCCAGGTTTGATCCCTGGGTGGGGAAGATCCCCTGGAGAAGGAAATAGCAACCCACTCCAGTGTTCATGCCTGGAAAATCCCATGGACCAAGGAGCCTGGGGGGCTACAGTCCATGGGGTCGCAAAGAGTCAGACATGACTGAGCGACTTCACTTTCACTTTCCAAAAATAGAGAGGAGGGGCTTCCCTGGTGGTCCAGTGGTTGACAGCCTGCCTGCCAATGCAGGGGACACAGGTTCAGTCCCTGGTCCAGGAAGATCCCACATGCCGAGGGGCAGCTAAGCCTGTATGCCACAGCTACTGAGCACTCATGCTACAGGGCCTGTGCTCCACAACAGGAATGAGGGGCCCACACACTGCAACTAGTAGTCTCTGCTCGCCACGACTAGAGAAAGTCCGTGCAGCACCGGAGACCCCAATGCAGCCAAAAATAAGTAACTAATTTTTTTAAAAAATGAAGAAATGCCCATCTATCCTTCCCTCTCCAAAATTCAGGAAATTTGATTTCACTTAAATGTGGTTAAATCATAAAAAAAAGTCATTAAGAAAAGCAGAAAGGAGCAGAATAATATCCCTTCAGATAACAAATCCACACAAGCAAAACAGATGGAAAACTAATAATATTTCAAAATGAAGTTGAAATAAATGTTGATGCCACAAAAGAAGAGCATATATCAGTTATTTTAAAATTGAGAAATATAATACTTAGAGACAAGGGAGATTTGAAAACAGGTGATAAGACTCAGGAAATAATTGTGGATAACAGAAAAATCATTTAATAAATGAAGTCAAATTCAAACAAAAACAATAAGTACAATATATATCTCCTCAAGAATTAAAAGCTAGAAAGGAGGAATACTTTTTAAAATCAAAAAGAAATAAGTAAGGATAAGAAAATGAATAGAAACAGCAGTTAAGCAAAGATGATTCAACATTTGTACAATGAGGACCTCTAAAAGCAGTGGCTGGAAAATAACTCTAAAAACTATAATTAAAGAAAAATACTGAAGCAAATAACTTGAATGTTGAAAGGGCAAATGATATAGTTGGAAAAAACAGACATAAAAGCTGACACCAGGACAACGCCTAGGATGTTACTTGGAGACAAAAAAAAAAACTATGCAGGTAAAAAACAGTACAAAACAAATTATTTACAAGGGAAAAATCTGATGGTCAACAAAATTTTTGTAACAATCTTACATAGACATATTTATGATTTGCAAAGAAAGAAAATGTAAACTACAGATTTTAAATTCAACTGACCTGACATTCAAATATAGTGACCACAGATAATTTTAAACATGCAGGAAATTAGGGAATATAGTTACTGTGATCCCTTTTGAAGAATCTACTGGAGAACTAGCTTAGGACAACCAAAAAGTCTACAGAAACATTAGTACAAGACTGGTGGATGGGCAGTATTATTAAATATTAAGGGATATAAGCTAGTAAGTAATGGTGACATGCTCCTGACAGTGTTAACATCACAAAGCTCTAAAGTGTGAATTTGGGGAACTCCTTGGTGGTTTGGTGGTTAGCACTTGGTGCTCTCACTTCTGGAGCCCTGGGTTTGATCGCTGTTCTGCGAACTAAGATCCCACAAGCCATGCAGCCAAAAAAGAAAAAAAGAAAAAAAAAGCAAGTCTTATTTCAGGTAAATAATGTATCAATAACTTGACTTTAAAAAACAAATGCATAAGTCTAATCATTACTCAGTCTAAGTGCTAATTCACAGGAAATAGGAGGATCAGATGCACTTGCAAAGCCAACAGTGTGGGGATGCAATTATTAACAGCAAAATCTAAATTGTGGGAAACTACGGGACAGAGTGCCTGGCTCATTTAAAAAAAGAATGATAGAAATGACACAGAGATGTAGGAGGCACTTAGCAGAGATGAAAGGACTTTAGAATAAAAAAAATCAAAGAATCATAATGTGTGGACCCTCTTTCAATTAGATGAACCAGACTGAAAACAGAAATGAGAGTTCAGATCAGTTGGATTGGATGATGTGAGTTAATTATCTCTAAATAAAAAAAGAGAGAGAAACAGGGAAATTTTAATGTATTGCAAATATTGTGTTCATAGCATGGAAGGTCATCAGTTGGAGGAGACTTTCCAATAATTGGCTTAAGGGGACTTCCCCCAAATGAAAAGTACACTGGTTCCATTTTACATTATAAATGTTCTTAATTGATAAGTCATGTTCAGTATGACCTTTAGATTCAGTATAAAGTGTCATAGGGTATCATGTTTAACCCTGGTCAAACCATTGATATAATGCACATTTTAAAGGACATTTAATTTAGCATATTTTAATATAGCTACCTTAACTCGAGGAATAATTAAATTCTTTCTTTCTATTTAGGTTTATGGAAGATCTAAAGGATATGCTGGGCTTTGCTCCCAATAGATATTATTACTATATGTGGAAATATATATCTCCTCTAATGCTGTTATCACTGCTAATCGCTAGCATTGTGAATATGGGATTAAGTCCTCCTGGCTATAATGCATGGATGGAAGATAAGGTAAAATAAAAAGAAGAAAGTCAGATAAAAGAATACACAAAATATCATTTTAGAGGTTTTTGGCTTTCACTTTTTTCAGTATAGTTTGCTGTTTAATGGGTAGTACTGCTTTTATGCAGGGATCTTAAGATTTATATTTTGTTTGGCCCCAAATATGTATGTTTTTTATTTGTAGTGAATATTTTTAGTACATAAGAAACATTGACTTGGACCTCATTAAAGTAATTTTATCCATGTCACTCTAGATGGACCAATAATTATTTAGGCTTTTGATGCTAGAGAACATATTGATCAAACCACCAGAAATTTTTCCTGCATAAATTTATGAAATCATATTTGAGACACTCTATACCAATGAAAATATGCATCAACCCTGTAGACATAATTTAAATAAATATTGAAGTAGAGTTTTGCTATAACTGTCTTCTATTAGCCATGAATATTCAGTTTCTGTTCTCAAGTTGCATTAGCTACATCGTCATGCAGTCACAAGATATATATTATCTATTAGAAAATCAGAATGCTTATTTTTTAGAGCTACCTCTGACCTTTATTCTATGGTCACTAATTCTATATAACAACAACTCAATTCATGACTATTCTAAAAAAATAAGTCTTCTATCCTTTATCAAAACCCTTGGGGACAAATGTAGTTCAAAATTTAATTTCAGATTCTAGAAAGGTGATGTGGAGAAGGAAATGGCAACCCACTCCAGTATTCTTGCCTAGAGAATCCTGTGGACGGAGGAGCCTGGTGGGCTGCCGTCCATGGGGTCACGCAGAGTCGGACACGACTGAAGTGACTTAGCATCCAGTAGCAGCAGCAGAAAGGTAATGTGGTACATACAGCAGGTATCTGTTGCTTAGTAACAGTGACCCACAATGTAATGACTGAAAGCAGTGCTGACTTATTATTTCTTAGGGTTTTGTGGATAAGCTGGACGATTCTTCTCTGGGTCTTGCTTGAGTCAACTCATGCAGTTGACTAAACTTGGAGAGCTGGGCTCTCTCTATGTGAGCTTTCGTTCTTGACTTCTTCCAGGCATTATGGGCTCAGGGCAGCATCTAAGGCACAGAGGCAGGAATCATCAGGCTTTTAAGGCTTTTCTTTGGAAGTTGCTTACTGTCACTTCCACAGCGACTTATTAATCAGTCACAAGACTAGCCCAGATTCTTTGCTTATAAACCTGAGATAAATATAATTTTTTTTCATATCCCTGCAGAGAACACTAGATGATTAATAATTATTTTTTGACTTTAACAGGCATCTGAGAAATTTCTGAGCTACCCAACGTGGGGGATGGTCATCTGTATCTCTCTGATGGTCCTGGCAATACTGCCCATCCCGGTTGTCTTCATCATCCGCCGCTGCAACCTAATAGATGATAGTTCTGGTAATTTAGCATCTGTCACCTATAAGAGAGGAAGGGTCCTGAAGGAGCCTCTAAACTTAGAGGGAGATGATGCAAGCCTCATTCATGGCAAGATATCAAGCGAGATGTCCTCTCCAAATTTCAGTAAAAATATTTATCGAAAACAGAGTGGATCACCAACTCTGGATACAGCTCCCAACGGACGCTATGGGATAGGGTACTTGATGGCAGACATGCCAGACATGCCGGAATCTGACTTGTAGCTGGAGGTGGGGGGCGGGGGGTGCAGAAATCAGTGAGTGTTATTTGGTTCATTTTTATTAATGAACATTGGCTCTACTAAGAGAAGCGTCAGACTTCTCTTATCAGAGGGCGATCTCAGGTGTTCCGTGGCTGTGATCTTTAATCCTAATGGTAAGGGTAAATTCGGCTTGACCATTCCTTTGGATTCTTCGGTTTACATTTGGGCAGAAAGAGTCACAGACAAAGCGTACAATAACTGACTGAGGTCCACACTGGTCGGAAGTTTTAAAAGTACTTCTGGCATTTTTCTTTTCCAGGGATTCCTATCTCTCTAAAAAAAAAAAACAGGTGTTACCTCAGTTTCTAACAATTTCTGGATGTCATGCTATGGGCAACTCAAAAATGGTGTACTTCAAAACTGATGAATATTGCCTTCAGGGTAACCCCCAGGATTAAAATGAACAGTTCTGTAAGCTGGTGCCGCTCAGCACACTTCCATGAACATATCGTGTAGATAGGCTGCACTTATTTTGGTAGCATTGATACCTTCTTAGGCTATTAGTTGAAGAAAACTGCCAAGTATTTTCTTATGTAATAGCTGTCTAGAGCAATAGTATCACAGAATAAGAAGGCACTGATGCTGGGATGAAAGGTGAAATTCGGAAGTGACTGGGGATCATGTGTGTGATGGCTGTATATTTTGTGTAAAATCCATGTGTGTGAAAATGAGTTAAGAATGAGTTACTGAGCACTCTCAAGAATTATGCTGATTCCACATTTTTCTATGCCGTGTGCCTAAAAACCTACTTGATATTTATTGTGGTTTCAAGATTACTCATAGTATATTTCTATAATATACTTGCAGTGTATATAGCTGTATATTAGTACTCTAAGTACTGATTTGAAAACTTGAAGCAAGATGGCATTTTATTTCATATCTTTCTGTTTTGCTTCTGTTTGATGCAAATATAAATCCTTTTTTAAGTGATTGTTAAAATTGTATGGCATTACATTTTAAGCAACAAATAAAGTTCAAAAATGATGTTTGTTTCCCTCATTGATTTTTCTTGTGCTACCTGAATGGGATTGTCTTGCACCTCTGTCAGCACTTAGGCATTTCATTATAATTAATCATCACATTCCAAGTGGGATTAATAGATTGACTAGCAGAATTACCACTTTAGGGACAAGAGAAAAGGAGAGTATTATGGCTAACTGGTGTTCTAATGTAGTCTCACGGCCTTCCCAGGAGGCTCAGTAGTAAAGAATTCACCTGCAATTCAGGAGATGTAGGTTCAGTCCCTGGGTTGGGAAGATCCCCTGGAGAAGGAAATGGCAATGCACTCCAGTATTCACATCTGGGAAATCCCATGCACAGAGGAGTCTGGTGGGCTACAGTCCATGAGATCACGAAAGAGTTGGATGAGACTGAGCAACTAAACAACAGTAATAACTACATAGTCTCACAATTCTTGGAAAAATACTTATAGGCTCCTAGGAAATCACATGCAGAGGTGACTGCTTGCTCGATCGGTATTGTCTCTGAAGTGTAAAAAAGTTATAATGATTTCTATGAAACTGTTGTATATATGAGGTTGGATGAGGCAGAAATCCATTGAGTGTCATCTAGTTAAAAAGATTTTATTTAACTGTCCTACCACTATATTGGTCATATTTTAAAAATAATGATGGATAAAGCAGCAAAAGAGGAGAGATAGTGTACACACTGAATCCATTGATTTATTTTGGCCAAATATTCTTCATCTGCTATGGAATATACTAACAGACTGCATCACTGCATTTTATAATTCCACTGGTGACTAAAACTTAAGATTTTATTTTTTTTTTGCATCTTCACTAATACAGTATTTTGTTTCACTTCAATAATATTTTATAGATAGGCAGTATATGCACATTATATGGACTCAAAAATTGTCATAATTGAGTGTAAATTAAATTCCCCCTTCAAAATTTCTCCTTGTCACCCATTTCCCATCCTTGAAGGCAACCACCATTACCAGGTTCTTAGGTGTCTTTATGGAGATGCTCAACATATACTCTTTATATAATGACATCATTCTGCATTCTTCCCTATGAATCTTACTTATTTCAAGAAATAATTTATTTTCTACAGTGTTTCATGTGAAAGCACATAAATCTGCCTCTTTATTTCAGAAGTTGAGGTAATATAAATTTTGTTTGTTTTCATGTTGAAACAGTGTTTTCTTCCATAAGCTATCCCAATGTTAGAACTGCTGTAGCAAATGCCTGCTTTACCTGCCAACTTTTAGCTTAACAAGATAGTATACAGCCATGCCTCTACACTCCCTCTCTTGCCAAGAGGGTGCTGATCTATAATTTGTGTACATGCCTTGCACTCGGGAATAGTGTCTTCTCTTCTCAGAGTAATAGGAAGAATTGCAGGAATCCTTTCAGGTGAAAGAATCTGAATGGCTTCTAATGCCTTCATATGACAGATGAGGAAACTAAGGCCAAAACAAAAGTAAAATGAATTCTGTTTATGTCATTCAGTTAATTCTTTAGCTGTTCATTCATTTCTTCATCCTTTCTTTCATCATCTACTCACTACGAATCTGCCTTATTCTTTGTACTAAGCTGAGAAACCATTGTAATTAAGGTGTAAACAATTCATCTTTTCCAACTTTCTCACTTTTACCTGGGACCTACCTGCTTTTTTTTCTCAGCCAGTGTAGTATTTAATCAATAAACAGTAGTAGGAAGTGTCCCAAAATTTGCCTTTGCATTACCTTCCACTCTTTCTCTAAACTCTGGCCTCAAATGCACACCTAGACGTGACAGAGCCAAAGGTTATTCAAATGGAGAGTCTGGGCAGTTTGACAGGAGGGATAGGATAGTACACTGTTCAGAGTGGATCAAAGGAGATGGAGAAAATGCATCCACTATTAGGTGTTAGAGTCATAATAAGGAAGCCTGATACCTTGGTGAAAGGACATCTTATGGTATAATTTTACGAAAGTATATTTGCATTTTACATGTGTTTCTGTTTATGTGCATTGTTTTAGGTAGGTGTTCTTTTTTAAATTGACTCTTCAGATGGGTGTGTGATTCCAGAATATTTCAAAGAAGACATAGTGCTTCTTAACTATAATTTTGATTTTGAGTCACTTGTGACCTTTCTAAAGACATAGTTCTAACTTACTGAATTTGCATCCTTTTGGGATTGGATACAGGATATGAGTAGTTTTTAAATGTATTCTAATATTCATTCTTTTTAGGAATCATAGGTATGAAGAAGATGAAAAAGAAAATCAAGTAGAATATGAATTTTCTCTTCAATTAAAATAAAAATGAAGATACAGTAACTGTAATATTTGGGAAGAACAATAATTCAGGTAGATAGAATTTGGAATTTGTAATTAAAAAGTACTTGAAAAGTGAAACATCTTTCTCCTTTTGCTTTTTTTCCTGGTCACTGTATTTTCTGGTTACTCCTCAAAGATATACATGTCTATGCCAACTGAATATGAATAAAATCACTATTAATTATAGCAATTACATAAATTTCCCCATAACTTTTAGTTGTAGATTTTTTGAGTCAAAAGGGGAAAAGACATAAAACTCTAGGCAACTACTAGAACTATTGAAGCTGACATTTCGTATAAGCTATCCATTGATGCTCTGGTTATAGCAAACACCCTCTTCCAACAACATACAGGTTACTCTACACATGGACATCACCAGATGGTCAATATCAAAATCATATTGGTTAAATATTCTGCAGCTGAAGATGGAGAAGCTGTATACAGTCAGCAAAAACAAGACATAGTGCTGATAGTGGCTCAAATCCTTAAAATTCAGGTTTAAACTGTAGGCAGTAGGGGAACCATTAGACAATTTAGGTATGATCAAATCACTTATGATTACACAGTGGAGGTGACCAATGGATTCAAGGGATTAGACCTGGTAGACAGAGTGCCTGAAGAAATACGGAAGGAGGTTCATAACATTACACAGGACATGGTTATCAAAACCATCCCCAAAAAACAGAAGTGTGAAAAGCAAAATGGTTGCCTGAGGAGGCCTTACAAATAGCTGAGAAAAGAAGAGAAACGAAAGGCAAAGGAGAAAGGGATACAACTGAATGCAGAGTTTCAGAGAATATCAAGGAGAGAGAAGAAAACCTTCTTAAGGTATCAATACAGAGAAATAGAGGTAAACAATAGATGGGAAAGATTAGTCAGTTCAGTCACTCAGTTGTGTCTGACTCTTTGTGACCCCATGGACTACAGCATGCCAGGCTTCCCTGTCCATCACCAACTCCCGAAGCTTGCTCAAACTCGTGTCCATCGAGTCGGTGATGCCATTCAACCATCTCATCTTCTGTTGTCCCCTTCTCCTCCAGCCTTCAATCTTTCCCAGCATCAAGGTCTTTTCCAATGAGTCAGTTCTTTGCATCAGGTGGCCAAATATTGGAGTTTCAGCTTCAACATCAGTACTTCCAATGAATATTCAGGACTGATTTACTTTAGGATGAACTGGTTGGATCTCCTTGCAGTCCAAGGGACTCTCAAGAGTCTTCTCCAACACCACAGTTCAAAAGCATCAATTTTTCAGTGCTCAGCTTTCTTTATAGTTCAACTCTCACATCCATACATGACTCCTGGAGAGACCATAGCTTTGACTAGATGGCCCTTTGTTGGCAAAGTAATGTCTCTGCTTTTTAATATGCTGTCTATGTTGGTCATAGTTTTTCTTCCAAGGAGCAAATGTCTTTTAATTTCATGGCTGCAGTCATCATCTGCAGTGATTTTGGAGCCCAAAAACATAAAGTCTCTCACTGTTTCCATTGTTTCCCCATCTATTTGCCTTGAAGTGAAGGCAAACCATTCAATATCACAGTAATCCAAGCCTATGCCCTGACAAGTAACACTGCAGAAGCTGAAGTTGAACGGTTCTATGAAGACCTACAAGACCTTCTAGAACTAACACCCCCAAAAGATGTCCTTTTCATTACAGGGGACTGCAATGCAAAAGTAGA